GTGACATTCTACAATGAAGTCACCACAACATACTACGTTACTGAGAGACGTGACATTCTACAATGAAGTCACCACAACATACTACGTTACTGAGAGACGTGACATTCTACAATGACGTCACTACGACATTCTACGTTACTGAGAGACGTGACATTCTACAATGAAGTCACCACGACATTCTACGTTACTGAGAGACGTGACATTCTACAATTTTCGTATGTTTGTTATAGTCATGGCTAATTGTGACCTAGTGGTTAACGTGCCGAACTATGGATCCAAGGCTCCATGGTTCATGTCCCGTTGTCGCATTTTAGGGCCGTGGTGCATTACAATTGGTTAAATCCCACCCATAGGTGTATAAATAAGGCCGGTTAGAGCAGACAGCTCTCGTGTAGCTTTATAGGGATATCGGAAATAAACATTATTCCGAAAGTCTGCTTCAAATACCGACTGTCAAATTAAAACTCGTTCAAAATGGCATTTGTTTAGCTAAAAATGATTCGTAAGATATCTTATTCTAGTTCTACCATTTAATTCCATTATTTCTTTTTCACAGATCCGCCCAAGCATATCCCTCTTCACACAAACGTAACCAAGTGTGTTAAAAATCTGTGTATCCGAGACGCTTAGAAGGGAGAAGCCGGAGGATAAATCAAGTGACAGGAGTAAAAAAAAAAGTGATACTTTTTATTCAGAGGGAGTAGGATGCGATAAACAGACTGCGATGGATAAACAAACCCCCGTATTTATAAACAAAACCCCCGTATTTAAATTATGATACGTAAAAGATATTTGTTGTTCTGTATATTACCGCCTTACTTAATGTGTATTCTTTTTTCAAGACGCACTTTAAAGTCATCAAATAAAATTATCACAGCTCACTGTATCTACTAAACTCATTATGAAGTAATAAAAAAAATGGTTTAATAAAATTTGATGCCATTGGATTATTTTGTGCTGTCTCTAGTGTCTCCATTGCTGGCAGAGCGTAGGATTGGAGTTAACATGACAGTCTGCAGTCGGAAGGTCGAAGATTTGAGCCTCGATATCCTGCACCATCTGTACTCTCAAGTGTGGTGGCGTAATATTCGTAACAAGAAATTCCGCTATTCAGTAAATAGCCACGTATAAATGGAAGGTGTTGCAAACAGATTTCATTCTATTTGGTCAACAGTTCCAAATTAGGAATGGCTATTCTTGAAATTTAAGGGTCTCTAACCTAGCTGTTTAACTCATATGTCTTTAAATACCGAAAATAGCCCGAACTAGACGTACTTTAAATCAGCATTACTGTTATGTAAAGTATTAGGCCTAACTAAACAGAATCTGAAGCAGCATTATTGTGATGCAAAAAGTATTAGGCCTAACTAAACAGAATCTGAAGCAGCATTATTGTGATGCAAAAAGTATTAGGCCTAATTAAACAGAACTTAAAGCAGCATTATTGTGATGCAAAAAGTATTAGGCCTAACTAAACAGAATCTCAAGCAGCATTATTGTGATGCAAAAAGTATTAGGCCTAACTAAACAGAATTTAAAGTAGCATTACTATTAGCGTCGCTACAGAAGGTTAAGTGCAGTAATTGGAGTAACCCTAGTGATTTCCAGCAGTAGAGAAGACGATGAAGGGAATAGTTTGGTTTTAATAATGAACTTGTAATTTTCAGTCCCCGAAGTCTATAAAGCCAGGAAACGAGGTCGTTAATGCAATAATAAACGAAAGTTTGTTTGTTCTATTACTTTGTTTTTAAGGTACTTTTTTACTCCCTACACGACTGTTTATAGTAACTGTTTTGGTAACGAGGATAATTTAGAAAATGGTTGTCTTATTAATTTATTCTTGACTATTTTGGAACCGTATCCAGGAATGTTTTTATAGCATTTTTATTTTGTTAAGTGTTAGTATTATTTGACTTTATTTGACAATGATACGTATAACAAAGATTAAAATGTTGCCTGACATGCGGATTTAATAATAAACAAAGCTTTTCACTTTAAAAAAAAAAAGATAATAAATATACAATTTTGTCAGAAAAAGTTATCAGATTATCTTTTTTTGAACAAGTCGTTGAAGTATTGTTTGTAAGAATTATAATTATTGGTGGATACGTCTCCTGCCTAAATCTCATTTGTAATACTCAGTTTGAGTGGCTGATGCGTTTCCCGCTGGAATTTCTCAATGCGTAAGACACGCGAGAGTTTAATATCTGTAAATTATTTTATTTCACTAGAAATATATGGAACATATATAAAAGTACACGATTTTTTTTAGAACGTGGACACAGCTGGTGAGTGATAATTATAAACTGATCTCTAAAGTGAAACATCTCCAACAACATTCGCCCCAGAGTGAGTGTAGGTCGAGTGGACTTAAAACTTGACTTGTCTAGAACATTCCGCATACTTTCGTTTTTAGTTTACTTCTGAAGAAAAAAACGAACAAGCAATAGATTTTAAAAATAAGATTTTTTTTTGTTTTATAAAAATATTTTAATCTATTAGGCCATTACGGCTCCGTTCGAAATTTAGTCTAATTTTAAATTTTTTATTTAGTCTAATTTAGTCTAATTTTAAATTTTTTATTATCATGTATGAGAGAAAATTCTTATTTTTTTAACATCGAAAATTAATATATTAATTTTCACTAAAACTTTAACGATTCAGTCTCGAGTTTCTCTAACAAATAAACACGATCGTTGATTTCAAACATTAGAATATGCACTTTTTTTGGCGAGTTTCGAAAAACAAAAATTATGCCGCTTAGAATGATAAATATTATATCGCTTTCGAAGCTAAAAAAAAATTTTTTTTTGTCTGACCCAAATATAAAAACAAACTTATTGGTGTATTCAATTTTAAAAAGAAGTCTTAATCATCTCCTAGATTTGGAAATTTTGCAAAAAAAAGATCCTATTTTTAAAGCCCTTCTATTTTTTCAGAAATTTGTTTATTGGAGTTAAGCACAAAGCTACACAAAGGGCAAGCTGTGCTCTGCCCACCACGGGTATCGAAACCCGGTTTCTAGCGTTGTAAGGCCGCAGATATACCGCTGTGCCACTGGTGGGCTTTTTCAGAATTGTTTGTTTGTTTTTGAATTTCGTGCAAAGCTGCACGAGGGCTATCTGCGCTAGCTGTCCCTAATTTAGCAGTGTAAGACTAGAGGGAAGGCAGTTAATCATCACCACCCACCGCCAATTCTTGGACTACTCTTTTAACAACGAATAGTGGGATTGACCGTCACATTATAACGTCCCCACGGCTGAAAGCTTTTACAAAGCTAAAAAAAAAAAATAACGATTTTCTCTTACAAAGATTAAACACAAATTTAAAGGTAGACCAAATTTGTAAGGAAGCCGTAATCATTTTAATATTTTGTGAAATTATTTTTTGTGTTATTAGATACACTTTATGTTCGCTCAAAATGGGACTCTTTTCATCAAAACTTCCAAGATGTTGGCACTGAGTTGTCACGAATATTCGGGCAAGATTCAATATTACTTTACTTCTAAAGAAAAGATAAATAACGGAACAAAGTCGATAATAGGAATTTTCAATCAAAATTGATAAAGCCGTGGGGGCGTTATAATGTGACGGCCAATCCCACTATTCGTTGGTAAAAGAGTAGCCCAAGAGTTGGCGGTGGGGACTAGCTGCTTTCCCTCTAGTCTTACACTGCTAAATTAGGGACAGCTAGCGCAGATAGCCCTCGTATAGCTTTGCGCGAAATTCATAACAAACTTAATTTTTGTAAATATTCTCAACTCTAACAGCTACAAGTCTTTATGGAAAAAAGTTAAACTGGTTTCTTTACCAATACGCACCTTGCACACATGGGTTTGAGATTATAATTCAAATTCCAGTAAAGTACATTGTACAACTAAGCCTAAACGTGATGCAATGTGGA